CAACATTTTACATTATAATATAAAAATAACCGTGAATGGTGAAACGAAATTATCGAGAAACGTTGTACCGAAAAGTAAACTTGAGAATGCGAATGTCAAAACTATCAACAGATAAGGTGATAAGGTTTTTATTGACCTGAAAAAAATAAAAATAAGGGGACTGTGATGTAAAATCGTAGAATTACTATTAGAGAAGTTGCTCTTATGATGCACTGTTTGGAACCTTTAGAGTAGTAATGAATATTAGCGGAGTTTTTCCCATCATCAAACACGTGTTTCGATCACTAAGTGATCATCTTCAAGAGGAAGATTAAACTAGAAACTATCGCGAAGCTAATGCTATTTTTGCTATATAGATATACCCTATATAGATATACCCTACAGGTGCACCACACATGCAGGTATACCACCCTAAATTAATTTTACAATTACCACCCATACAGGTATACTACCCTAAATTAATTTTACAATGTTGCCTTATCTATTATTTTACAATATATGTTTAAATTTTATAGCTTAATATTATGAATAACGATGACGGACCTATACCAAATAGCATACTATATAGCTTGTTAAAATAATATTGTTGGGTTTACTGATTACTACATAAGACAATTCACTTTCACTTTACTGGAAAGTTTTGATGGGTTGACCTCAATCATCTGGAATTGTGATAAACTTGCTTTTGGAGATTTATTGAGAAGGATGTAGGTATATGAACGAGAGCTTCTGAAATATGGAGTCAGAGGATCAGCTCCTAAACTTATTGAATCTCATCTTCAAGATCGGCAACAACTTATTTTGTATAAAAATGAGAAATCTAAAGTGAAAGCTATCAACCGTCGAATACCTCAAGGGTCTATACTGAGCCCCTTCTGTTATGATCTACATAAACGATTTGCGAGACTATATCGACAGTGCTGATGCCCCCAAGAGAATGAGAAATCTTATTTCATTTGATGTTCTTGAAATTATTGCATAATTCATTGTCATATGGTACACTGAATTGTTGTGAAAGTTCCTCTCCAAAGAATGTATTCATTGCAGAGTTCAGTTGCAAAGCAACCAAATCAGATATCGCTTTCTATATCACTTAACAGCTTTCAATATGAACATAAAACTAGACGATACCAGAGACAAAGTGTTTGTGGTCTTCATATGTATATTTTTAATTTTATATCTTGTGAATGACATTGTTCTTTTTATTCATAGTCCATATTATTTACCCTTTAGTAATCTTTTCAGATACATTTGTAAGGGTTAGACTATACATTTTTATATCAAAAACATCTCTTACAATGACCATCTGTATCTGTAGAGTAGGGAGAGTGAGTGTAAGCCCACTCACTTAGGCCACATGTGACCCATTGTACATCCTCCCGAGGAATTGTCTCCTAGGTCATCTTCCATCCTGTCCTTTCCAGGAAGGTGGACAGGTCGCTGGGAGACATTTCCTTTATATCGGCAGGTGTAGGCCAAGACTCGCCGAACACACACTCTCTTATTGACGATAACTCCGGGCACTCGCACAGGACATGCCTGACAGTCTCATCTTCCTGTTCACACATCCTGCATAGAGGTGTGTCCACTAGCCCCATATTATGTAGGTGTTTCCTTAGCTGACAGTGGCCAGTCAGAAATCCTACTGTAAGGCGTAGATTTTTCCTGGTCATCGCCAGATATTTCTTCGGCGCCAGCTTC